CTCTTTCTACTAATCTACTGCATACTAAATCTACTGCACATTATGGACAAGTCACTGGTTCCAGGACTCTTACATTTCGGGAGTTTTAAAAATGAATCATGCTGACAGCTAATTCAGAACAAAAGCAATTCATTTTGCACTTTACTGTTAAGTTAAGGAAGGTTGCATTTTTTTAAAGCACATTTATTTTTCAGTTTGCATGACTGCAACAGTATTTTGTGTTTGTTCCCACAAAGTATTGCAGAAAGCACACATTTTCCCTTTGTACAGGTCTACTGCATTAATACTCAATGTAGTGCAAATTCAATTCTCCTCTTAAGATCTCAAACGGAGCTTTTCTGGGTAGAAACACAATGAGTAAAGGCATCTTTCCGCACGAGAGTTTTGCCAAAAAGGAAACTACCATATGCTTTCTGGCAGATATTGGCAGAAGTGTTGCGGCATAATAATAATAATCATAATTCTTGCATTTGATATAACACCTTTCCCGTCAGGATGACATCTCAAGGTGTTTCTTTTAGTGGAAGAGCCGTAAGACATAAGCACAACTTATGCATATCATGGAGAAAGTGGGTTTAAATGCAGATTTTCATGGGGTTTTGGCTACCTTTAAACTGTACACTTAAAAATACTTAATTATTAATGGTAAATAATCCACTGATAATAATTATAGCTTGCAAAGCAGCTCCTTTCATAAGAATTTTTTTAACGTTCTTGTTTTTGATGCCATGATTATTAAAGCATGAAATAATAATAATAATTCTTACATTTGATATAGTTTCTTATCATGTCTTGAGGCATCTCAAAGCGCTTCACACCATATTGACTGTATATTTTGTGGGCGAAACGCAGCAGACAATCTGAAAACAATATTTACTAAATTGCTCATCATGTTGCACAAGGTCAGGACGGAATGCTGCTTTAAAGGTTACGTGTTCCAGACAGTCGATAGATCCTATTTGTAGCACTAATGAAAAAGGAAATGGAGGATAAAGAGATGGAACGTTTTTGTTATGCATGCAATGTTAACATGATGAATCTGAAAGGAGGTTATGAATTAAAAATGACAGCGGTGTGTACAAAAAAAGGACAACAAATCTAAAACAATAACTTGAAGCTACAGCAGTACACGCTCAAGAGAAGATCGGACAGTCCAGTAAGTAGGGAATGATCACCTGGTAGGATAGGAGGGCTAAGAGTGTAAAAGATGCAGAAGCATTTCAGCATCAAAACACATCACATCAATAACAACAACTTGCATTTATGTCGGGCTCCTCACACAGGGTAGCGGCTCAGCCCCAAAACACATCAAGTGTTGAAAGAAAACTAATAAGTCAATTTTTTTTAAAATCATGCATGCTCCATCGGCATCTTAATCCTTGGTGACTTGTATGTACTGCTTGAATTGACTTCCTTACATTTAATAGGAGCTGTGGAAATGATTTTTACAGCTGTTACATATACTTTGAAAAGCTGTGGAGGACTTTCAGTCCTTGAAGGATTAACATTCTCAACCAACTTTTTTTCCCAAACAGGAAATAAAACTATTTTTTAATAAAAGTCTGGTGGTGATAATGCAAGTGCTGTGTTATTTTACTGAGAGAGAAAAACAAGACTGGACAGCCCTTGTACTGAGAAAGCAAAGCAAAATGATTTTAAAAAAGATTCCATCCGAGGCAACTTGTTTCTTAAAGTCAAAAGGCAACTGTTTGCCCCGTGGACAAATCCGACCTCGTCTAACAGTAGGAGTTATCCACTGTGGTTTGCTTCTACTATTATTCAAGCACCGCTAATTTGTTCCCCATCTATTTCCTTAGCACCTCCAGTGGCTTTAAATAAATATTTTTCCCGTGGTAAAGCTCCAGGCCTTACTACCAGTTCTGCCACAGAGCTGCTTCTTACGGCTGTTTCATCATTTCTGTTGTAACCCTGTCTATTATGCAGATTTCCTCAGTGACAAGGCAGGAGCAAGCGACGCATTAACTAGGATGGATCAGTGTTACACAAAACACTCTCTAGAGTTAAAAGAAATACAGCTGTGGAAAACAACTGCATTGCAGTGCGAGGGAGCTCAAGAATGCACAGGGTTAAATTTTATGGAATTCGACGATGCCAAAACATAGTTGGTTGTGTTTAGGACAGTGGCTGTCTTTCAGAATTAAAAAAAATACTGAATGTCTGAAAACATTGGTGGTGTTCCAATACCGTGAATATCATTGAATAAAAGGATCCAGTAATAATGTTATTGATGAGTAGTATCCAGGATATGTAGCTTACATACTGATGTAGACCCAAGTCAAGCCTTTAGCCACCATTAACCTCTATGTCACCTCCATAGTTAGTTTCCAACTTATGCTGATCCTAAAAATAGCTATGCCTTTGTAATGGGAAAAACCATTGTGAAAAATTGGTATCAGCAGCAATCTGGATACACGAGACCCCAGTAATTCTACGGTCAAAAGCTACTCATAAATTGTTGTCTGCGCTTTGACCAAAAATTATTTATTATAACATCATTGTTAATGGACGACAAAGTGCAAACAGTCGTGTGAGAATTTTTTCTAAGTGATGGTTTTGTGTTGTACAGCAAAATAATTGGTCTCAGATCAGGTCTCATTCCATGTCTACACGGTGGGTGCACAGACTAGACCTTTTTTTCACATCAGATGTCATAGGTTCTAAACTGTTTGGGATATGCATCCCAATTACAATATTATTTCACCCACAAGAAACACTCACAATGTGGTGAAACATCTGAGGAACAGAGGGCGAAAACTTTCGCTGTTTATTGGATGAATGAAAAGAATAAAATCGGTTTTCAGTTTGTTGTTCTACATTTTCCACGAAAGCTCTGGAGAGTGTCTGGTGAGTTACAGTAAACAGTATCAAAGAACAACGTTTGCTCTGAACAGTCAACGTTGCAATACCATACTTAGCCAAAGATCCTGGCCAACACTGCTTCACAAAGAAAACAACCACAGGAAAGTCCTAACATTACAAGGTCACTTTTTTTAACCCTGTCTCATCTCAAATGCTCTCGTAAGAAACATATTTTTCTGCCCACTTTTTTATTGTAGTGCCTTGAGACATCCTCCAGACGTGAAATGTGCTATAATAATAATAATCCTTGCATTTGATGTAGCGCCTTATCACATCTTCAAGATATCTCAAAGTGCTTCACAGAATATACTCTAAAGTAAATTGACAGTATATTTTGTGGGCTAAACCCACACAGCAGTCCCACCAACAGTCATGGTTTGATTGATCAATTTTTTTTTAAGGGATTATTACCCCCGGAAAAACGATCCACCAATCAACTAACAACCGAGTTTCTACTTACTGCTAAGTAAACAGAGGTGTGTGGAGTGAGGAAACTTGCCTAACATTTCGCCCTGCCCGTGATTCAAACCCAGGTCCTCTCGCTTGCGAGGCGAGAGCTCTAACTGCTAAGCTGCAGGACTATACAAATGTAATTTGTTGTTGTTGCACTGAATTTAACAAATTGATCAGTGTAGCTTTACCACAGAAGAGGGTGAATGCATCCCTTTTCAAGACTGCGGCAACATCAGAAAATATTCTAAGCTTTAAAGCACGTAGATATTTTTGTGCTCAGTCACCTTTAAAATGTTTAACCTGTCCCTTAAAGGAAACTCTTGCTATAAATATCAGCTCTTAGACTGCCAAAGGTCCACAGAGACTCCAGTGTCTGTGGGGCAATTGCTTTAGTACATTCTCAGCTCAGGCACTAATACACTGAAAAAATATGAAGTAATAAAGCTACTCGAACATAGGATAACTTTATAATAATCCTTACATTTAATATAGTGCCTTTCATGTCAGGACTACACAGGATTTAATGTAAAGTGTACGGACTGCATATTTTGTAGGCAAATGCAGCAGACAATTTGCAATGTCACAGCAATGTCCCACCAAACAGCCATGAAGAAAACAACCGATATTCTCGGGGGGATTTTTGACCAGGACACTGGGAGAATCTCTTCACTTTATTTGTTTGCCTTCCCTCTCAAAACGTCAACATTTTAAAAATCTTTATAAGAATATGAATGACATATTTTAGACCTTGCCATACTAGCAGGAGCTCTCCAGCTTTGTTCTCACTTGTCGTGCATCACTGAGAAATAATATTCAGTCATCAAATAACAAGTAGGATAGAGGAAATGGAAACAGAAAGGCAACATCCACATACCTCTAAAAGCAACAAACAGGTATGTGGAGAAAACAGCAGCATACCTTAAGAATTTTTTCCCCTCCATAGCTATAACTATTATTAAATGCATTTTCAAATAGTTTTGGCTGTGTAGCAAAGAAGAATAAAGGGATAACTCAAAGTATTCCATTTCTCTGGGCCCCTTATCAACGTCCTATGTTTGTAGAAATATTTCAAATGACGTTCAAAAAAACAGCAAAAACCAGTACTATATCAAATGAAGACGGACATAAAAGGCAAGAATCAGATGAAAAGGCTGGATGATGAAATGCACCATTATCGACCTTCACTTCCTCTAGATGGAGCACTGGTTAGCTGGCATTTGGGTTAGTTGGTTGGGAAAACATAGGCAGCATTGAACCCATACACTCTGTGAAGACCGGAAAACAGTGGGATCTAAAATGTGATGTTTGCAAATTGGGTTTGTTGCATTAACTGAGACATCCGTACTGATGCTTTCCTTGCCAGTCTCATTTTGGACTTTCCAAATTCTGAATGTATTTTCCGTGGGTAGTGTTTATCACTGAGGCCCGAAATACCTAACGGTATTAGCCTTAAAACCATTATCATAACGGTTTAAAACCTGCGGAAGTTCGGCTTCCAAAATTGAGACTGAATGTTAAGAATTTTCTAAAATTCTGCACAATCTTAAATTTCAAGACAATGGTCTCAAGACTAAAACCATGAGAAATGTCTGGCCACTGGCATATAACTGAAATCAGAAGACAATATGAACAACGCTTAACAAAAAAGGGAATTTGTTGAAGCTTACCTTTATCAGAGATTGTGCGGGCTGGGTCGACAGCTGTTTTTGCTCAGGGCTGGAGGATCGGTGGCTTGCACTGGGGCTGTCACTTGGAAGGCTGTCAATGTCTACATTTGGTAACACCTGAAGGCAAACAGAGTTGTGTTACTTTTCATGGGACAGTTTCCAACACCGGAAAGATGAAGAGTGAGACCTGAATCCACAAAAATGACCTTTTCAACAGAATAAAACGAAACAAGTGCCACACTCACAATACAGCGCAGGCAAGGCTGGGCAGTGTGTTTCATGCAATGAAGTAGCTGGATTTTAATCGTCGGTTGTTAATAAGTGAACTTGCCCTTTGTCAGATAGTACAATGTAAAGCCAGGAATCATCCTAAACTGGAAAGGGAGCGTTACCACTCCATTTCCAGATTGTTTAATATTTTACTTCTATTCATTTAACATGATGTTTCATCTTCAAGGTCCTTACCTTCACTTATAAATCCCTTCAACGCTCAACACCATCCTATCTCTGTGATCTTCTCCCACCCCACTCCTCTGCTTCCTCCCCACCGGCTCAGCTAACTTGGGCGGTCTACACATTCTCACCCGCCCCCCCCTCTGGGCCAGAATTGGTGGCTGAGCCTTCAGCTACTAGGCCATTACACCTTGGAACTGCCTCTCTCTACCCCTCCACCTTACCCGCTCTCTTTCTGTCTTTAAATCAGGCCTAAAAAAAAACGTTTTGACTGCGCTTATGCTCACCTCACCCTTCCCCGTCCTCCATTGCTCAGACCCAATGCCGCCACTGTGAAGCGCTCCGAGACATTGTAACACATGAAGGATGCTATATAGATAGTTTCCCAATTTGATAAATTCTAGGTTTAATATAAGAATACAATTCAAATGTTTACTGAGAGGATCCGGTACTTAATTCCACAAGTGCAGTAGCTTCCTGCTAGGCTAAAAATCGGTTTACCAAATATATTCATTTGCTTAAAAAAGAACTCACATTCTACTAAAAACCTCAAATAGCTCCAATGGTAGAAGTACCCAGTGCCAATGAACTCTGACTCCACCCTCTCCATCACTGCCTGAGAATGCCAAGAAGCAAATTCTAAATATATCTGTGTGTGAGTACTGTGTAACCTGCAGTCTACCCTCATCCAAATAAGGCAAATTTACTCAACTTAACGGTAGATTAAAAAAAACAAGGCAGGAGAGTTCCGCCCGATCCCAGTTTATTCCTGAATTCAGGAGTCACTCGGGAAGGAATTTACTTCAAAGTAATGGTATTTTATTAGCAAACAAAAAAANTTAACTTGTACATACCAATGTACAGTGCTGCACTGTGCTAGGATATGGGGCCATGTGCCCACAATTCTGTTAGGCTTCAGGGCTGGCATTGAGCAGAGGACTGGCATGTCTCCACAACAGGGATATGTGGAGGGATTTTCAAGAGGTGGGACGTATTTGCTCAATGCTTGCCACTGTTGGTGGTGCAGCAATCCTGAGTTTGCCAAGTGGAGGAGGTGAGCAGAAGAGATGCACTGGAGAAGATCACAGAGATAGGGAGGTGCTAAGGCGTTTAGAGACACCCTGGCATTGACAGAAACATCCAAATAAATTGCCCACCTATTCAAGGAAGGAATGCTGCATAGCAATAGCTTGTAAGACCATTTTGCCTCAATATTTAAGAACATACAAAATTGTGGAAATTAAATTAGGAAGCTGGTTGGCCGCAGTTCTTAAAAAGAAACCAGCTTCCAAATTAAGGCTGAATTTAGCAAATTTCCACAAATCAAGCTAAGAATTACAGGCCGCCAGTAGGAAGAGTATCTTGTATAAGAATGCACCTGTACACAAAGCTTTGGCAGGGACTTCTTCTCAGATTTCACATGCACAACTGCCGCATTGGGCTTTCTGACCCGAAGCTGTGGTTTGGGGGGAATCGAAGTAGTTAGTGTGACAGGCTGGGCCCCGCTGATGAGCAGCCTTGCGGGTTGTAGAACGCCACCATCGATCCGTGGCTCACCTGGAAATGCAAAGCAACGTTTAGTGATCAAATTGTCAGGAAAACCGCCATGCTTATTTATTTTGTTTTTGCGTGATTGGCAAAATGCAATTGATGGCACTGAGAAAGGAAGTATTTGCACTTAGTTACGGCTTCAAGATCAGGTGTCTGTTCCAGGAGCAACTCACCCTGCATTATCCTAGCAATAATATGAATGTCAACATCAAAGGGATACTTTTTAATCAAGAACAAACTTGAAGGTAGAGGCCCTTTGTTCTTCCAATGGGACTATTTTCTCTATCTGCTTTGTTTCCTCCCTGCTGGTGTACACATATCTCTTCCCTCTAAAAATTATAATCAACAACAATTTGCATCTGTATAGTGCCCCATACGCTATATAAGTCCCAGAGCACTTACATATTAGTTAATAATGTTGATATTAGTTAATAATCTAATAATATTAATGATCACTAGAGAAGTTCAGATAAAGAAGACCTTTTTTATTTAATCTTTCCAGGACATCCACCCTACCGTCATCCAATTCTAACACCAAATGTTTTTTAAACATGTTCAGTAGCTTGGCTTCAACCATACTTCCTTGAACCCACGTTCCTCTCTCCATAGATGCTGCCTGACCTGCTGAGTGTTCCCAGCAACTTCTGTTTTTATTTCATACTTCAATGTACCCATTCCAGTCAATAATTACCCTCTGTGTGAATTATTAAGCAATCCCACCTCAGACCTCATTATTGTAATCATCAGCACCTTCGGTCATCTTCCTCCCCCCCTTCACCCCCTTGGCTCCCACCTCTCCCAAATATATTCCCCAGCTCAGGTGCAAACCCATGACTGCCAAGCACAGAGGTAACAGAGTAGATAGAGAAAATAGTCCCATTGGAAGAACAAGGGAACCAAAATAGTACAAACAGAAAAACACCACCACAACACAGCAACTATACAAAACACCAGTCTGAAAAATGTTTCCACAATGCTCTGCTGTTTGGAAAAGAAAATGTTGCAATATTAATCTTATACACCACACAGGATTTTTCCTTAAACAGCAAACATAAATTGCTGCAGTTTTCCTTGGGAGATGCCTTTAATACAAATACTTCTTCCTTTTATCTGAAGGAGAAGGTAGCCCTTGAATCTGCAACGCCTTGTGTAAGGCCTCTTCCTCCCTGGTGCCTTGTAGTATCCCGTGTCAGGAAAGCATACCTGAAACATATTTCAATACCTTCATTTGTTTATTCATTCAGGGAGTTAAAATGGCCAAATAGTGCCTTGCTGGTTGATGCCTTGAGGTACTCTGCAGGGAAAAGCCAGTACCTGCAATCAGTATCTAAAAAACTGTTAAAGAGATACTGAGCTGTCGAAATGAACCATGTGTGTTGTGTGCCAGCCTGGCACAGTTTGTATCACTCTTGTCTCTTGAGACAGAAGGTGGTGGGTTCAAGCCCCCATCGAGACTTGGAGCTCACAGTCCTAACCAACAATCAAGTGCAATGCTGGGGGAGCACTGCACTATCAGTGGTGTCATTGTTCAGATGTGATGGTAAAATCCAAGGTTGCTTGCCTGTTCAGGAGGACATTAACAATCCCATAGCACTACTCAAAAAGAGAAGAGTTTCTTCCAGTGTCCTGGCCAACAAATACCCCAGATAAATCTGGTTATTTTCACTTTTTGGGTATTTGGAAATTTGGGGTAAATTGGCTGCTCTGTTCACCTATAGCCACCTCATGTTACAAAAAATCCTGTGAAGTGTTTGATAAGGCACCATATCAAGCATATTGATTATTATATACAACAAAGTCCATGCACCCATTGCCACAGCCCAATGACAAAGTGATGAACAAAGTGAAAGTCTCTCTGCTACCTATGGATTATTTTGAAGTGCATGTAATTGTTTTCAATATACTAATAATCGACCCTTATTTACTGAGTGTGAATATGTAACATGTACTTACCACTTGGCATATTTCACAAGCCAAAGAGAGTTGATGTGTTTAAGTAATTGCTAGGATATTATTCAAATACCTGTCTATTTTCCCAGTTTTGTTGCCACCTGCAGTTTTATAGCAAAGAGTATTTGGCAACGTGAGTTTAAGTCAAACTGCTAACGCACTGTGTGCAAGGAGAGGAATAGCTTATGCTTCAAATAACACAAGACATACATAACTGCTATGTAATGGTCAAAATATTCTAGTTTTGGGTTCAAATAACCGTAATGGTTGGTATCTAACTACCTCATATGGAAATGGAACAAAATATCGTCAGTAGATCAATCCAAAAAGGACAACAATACTGAAAAAACATCACCATGGTAACAGCCTGCCTCCTAAGCATGAATTCTTATCTGTAAGGCTGTTGAGGTAAGATTTAAAATGCTTTCTTTTCTCAATGAATAGCTTTCTGAACATACAACTCAGATGAATGCAGCACAGAAAACTACAGAAAACTACAGAATTGCATTTCCTTTGCTCCCTTTTACCAATTTTCACTGTTTTTCCTTTGTTCCCTCTTTTCGTTTGCCACCAGCATCTGAGGTGCATTGGAGCAAAGTTCTACAAATGACTGAAATCAATTTATCTGTAGAATTCTCTTTCTGAATACCACCATGAGATTTTTAACATCCACTTGAATATTAGCGTCCACGTAAGCTTCCCCCCTTGCTCCCATACTCCTCTATTCAATTTTCCTTCATATATGTATCAAGTTTCCTCTTAAATACATTTTTATTCTATTGAACCAGGATCTGAGGAACACAGGGATGGAAAGCTTATGAAAGTTTCTTTTAAATTAATAATAATTCTCGTATTTAATACAGCATCTTTCATATCCAGAGGATGTCTCAAAGCACTTCACAGGAGTTAATGTGTATTTTGTAGGTGAACACGGCAGCCAATTTGCAAACATCAAAGTCCCACAAACAGCCATGAAGTGAACAATCAATTTTAACGGGGGATATTTCCCTCTCAAGACACCAGGGGATATTTCCCTCTCTTTTCAAATAGTGCCATAGGTTTTTTAACAAATCGAATGGGCAGAAGGAACCCAGGTTTAATGCCTCACCTGAAAAACTGCATCTTCTAAAGGGGCAACTTAGACTATTACAACCTTCTGACTCAGAGGTGAGAGTGTTACTGACTGAGCCAGGCTGACACACGGTAAGCCAGTTACAACATCGATACAACCATTTCATCACACAGTGATAACTATCCCTGTGGCTGTATTCTGTATCTGCAGCACACTTGTTTGTGATTTTTAAAAAATCTCTCTTTGATTATTCCTTAACCTTCTTACGTAATAACCTTGATCTAAGAATTCAAGTGGGGGTAAGCACAGGAATCAGGGTGGTGATTCTGGACCACTTCAGCAGGGGTGACTTTTGTCAAAGGTGAAGATGACCGAGAAAGAGGATCTTCGTTTGAAATGGGTCCCATACAGACAGCTTTAAAAGCCAACGAAGCATGCTCACACCTCCGCAGCACAAGCACAAAAAAGTTGCACTGTAATTCCACCTGACAGCCCAACTCATAGAGCTGGAAAGGATTAGTCAGCAATAGGTTCTGTTTCGCTGGAGTGCAGTAGTTAATTATTTTATAATGGCCATAATACTCCTCCTTCCTGGATACATCACAGCGCTAGCTTCAGATACTGTAAGACTCCAGCACACCATCTTGCATTTAATGTGACAAATCTACCCAATAGTAATAGATCTTGTTTCATATTAGTCATTTTCCAACTCTCTGTGTAGGCAGACCATCACTGAAATGTCTAAAAATAGCCCAGCAGTACGAAATCCTAAATGAAGTATTTCATTATGCTGGGAGAAGTCTGCCTGAAAGCTGTCAACGCCATTAACCACAGAACTGTCAACAGTGACACTGTGGCAACTGCAAACTAATGATACCCTGACTGCATTGCAGATATAATTACAGCCTGGCGATGGCTGCTCTCGTAATTGATTTTAATTTGGGAAAAAAAATCCAATCTTTATGTGACGTTCCACGCAGCCTTATTATCTTAACTCACCACTACACACACACACATACATCCACCACAGATTACATTCACATGCAGATAATGGCAAGAATTTTATAAATGAGACAGCAGGAGAAATACCAGAGGCAAGGGTTTGGTCTGAAGGGAAGTGAAGACTTAACCCCATTAACAACATGAATGAGGGTGGATAAGGGAAGCTGCAAATGCTCAAGGTATATAGCTCCTGGCTCTGACACCTTTAAGCCAAGGGTTCTGAAAGATTTAGCTCAGGTGATTGCCAGTTCTGTCACGGATATCTTTATACTAGATGCAGGACAAATTCAAGAGGATTGGAAAACAGCAAAGCAACTCACATCTTTAATAAAGGACCTATAAACTACAAACTAGAATCAAGACTCGCATCGAACTTAGGAAGAGTTTGAAACTATGACGAGAGATAGGATAAGAGATCATCTTGAGGCACTCGGATTAATCAGGCACTGCCAGCAGGACTTTAGAAATGGAAGATCACCATCAACAGATTTATTGGATTTCTTTGAGGAAGTAACAGATTTATTGGATTAAGGCAGGGCAATGGATGGATTAACGTAAAATTATCACATGCAAGAGATGTGCCAATGAGAAAAGCCCTTTAGCCAATTTAGCCAAGGCCGAAACCTTGGGCAAGTTTCCTTACTCCACACGCCTAATAATAATTCCTCCAAAACAAAACAATAATAAATTGGTCATTTCCACGACTGTTTGTGAGACACTGCTGTGCGCAATTGGCTGCCGTGTTTCACCCACAAATATACAGTCAATTCACTTTAGTCTGTTCTGTGAAGCGCTTTGAGATGTCGAGAAGACGTGAAAAGCACTAAATCAAATGCAAGGATTATTATTATTATTATTATAATTTGATTTCATCCTTCCAATTTTCGCTTTAGAGGATCAGTGTTTTTTCTTAAGGGCCTTGAAACAGATCGATAGATGTATTAAAAACCAGATTAGCAAATGGCTGTTTGGCAAACGAGGGAAGGTGTGCTACAAGGGTTGGCAGCAGAACTTGTATTATTTATAGTTTTCATGAATAACTGAGAGCCTGGTATTTTATTGAGATGTACAAATTTACACTAAATTAGGAGGAGTGACAACCGATAAGTATTAACGTGCACAAATTCAGAGAAGCTAAGCATGTGGGCAGATAGATATCAAAATTATGAGATTTGGCAGAGGATAGGATATCAACAAGAAATTACATTTGTATAGCACCTTTCATGTCGGGAGGACATGAAAGGCCCTATAGTTAAGAAGCTAAATGGTTTTAAAAAGAAACTAGGCAAGTTCCTAAAAATTAAAAGATTTCAGACTTATTAATTAATGAGATAAGTTTGTTGGAGGATTATTTTGGGAGGTTGGATGGGTGGGATAGAATGCCTGGAAGTTACATTGCATATAAATACGATATATCAGTGGTTGGGTCATTTGAAAAAAAATTGAAAAATATTTTCAAATATTATTGAAATGTTACAAAAGTTACTTTATGTTGCACTGTACAAAAGTTAAACCACTGATATCTTAACTAACTGAAAAACCAGACAAATATATTACTTAAAAAAATTGTAAAAACACAGCACTCACCAGTCATCTAACTCTTATCAAGGGTAAGAAAACCTTTGTTTAAATCTGTAGACCTGGAGTATTTTATTTGGTCAGTTGCTTCTAGTTTTGTTGAATGGAACAAAAAAACACTCAGTTTGTACATTTGGTACGAGATTATATTATATATTTAAAAAATTTGCTTTTAATATTTTTCAGACTGAAATAAAATCTCCGACCGAGACTCCTTAATCAAACTGCCACTTCAGCACAATTGCTATTAATAAATACACACAAGGAATGGCCATGAAGAAAAGGCTCTTTTTCCTAATAACTTTAAACACCTTGGTATAGTAGAGTCCTGTAGCTCAGTGGTAAGAGCACTCGCCTTGCAAATACCTGGATTCAATTCCAGGCAGAGCGAAACCTTGGGCAAGTTTCCTTACTCCACACGCCTAATAATAATCCCTCCAAAATATAAAACAATAATAAATTGGTCATTTTCAATCCACGAATGTTTGTGGGACACTTCTGTGCGCAATTGGCTGATGCGTTTCGCCCACAAATATACAGTCAATTCACTTTACAGCATATTCTGTGAAGCACTTTGAGACGTCTAGTAACGTGAAAAGCACTATATCAAATGCAAGGATCATTATTATTATCAATCCATCCAATATGACAAGAATGTAAGGCTTCTGTTGACATAAATATCTGCCATTAGTGGCATTTCAGCACTCCTTCCCCCAATATTCTTCACTTAAAGCTTCATTTGGTTCTAATGCCCTTTATGAATCGCGAGCAAAAGCACAGGGAACCTCACTATTAATGCTGAGAACTAAAGTTCAATGCCCCTTCAATGAGGCTCACCAGCAGGGTAGCTAAGTGACCTTCAATAGCACAGCATTAGCTGGAACAGCGGCATTTTTTTAAACCAGTATATTTAATGAGGTCACAGCCTCAATAGGATTTTTCTGCACAACACTGTTCTCATGGTATTTGTCTGCATAAGATAGGTAAGTGCCTGCAGACCGCAGACTGTTTTTCCACCACTAGAAATGACTTCTCCCAATGCACACCAGCCCATTACCAATTTACCAATCTCTAAGTTGTATATTTTAACAGTGGCTGGCATTATCACAGTACCACGATTTGACAGATATTGGCACAATAGTATTTGGGCTTCAATTATACAAAAAAAATTTAAGTAACTGATGGAATTCATCTTCCCATAACAGGGACTGTCAGAATAGAATATTTGTACGAGGCAGAATGGAAGAGCTCGAGGAATTTGAATGAACAAATGGTAAATCCTTTTCTTATTTTCAATTTACAGTCAATTCACCTTACAGTATATCCTGTGAAGCACTTTGAGATGTCTCAAAGGATTGATAAGGCGCTATATCAAATGCAAGGATGATTATTATTATTACGTTGTAACGCACTAGAATCCATTGTAACATATAATCCTTGATATAAATTAAACAAAGATTCCAAACTGAAGGATTCCATCTCTCAGAGCGCAAACCGCATGTTATTTTGATAATATTCTGAGTTAACGTTATTAAGGGGCAAGCTGTTTCTGGACCTTTGCTACCACTCACATCAAGCAGCCTCCAGGCGGTACATGGCAATATCACAGCAACAATAATCCTATATCCCGATTGCATATTAAAATGGTATTATAATGTGGAATAGATTTAGTACATTCTACTCTTCTAGTCTCTATTTTGTGTCTCCACTCTCCGCGTCAGCTGCTCCAGCGACATGAGAAGCTACAATTCTCAATTTGTTTCAGAGTAGAAGACAGTCCTGACTCTCCAAAACTGTGGCATTCTTCGCCTCACTCCCTTCCTCTCCAATCCCATTAGAATTCCAATTCACCTGGTGACCCTTTGCTCCAGAAGCAGATAACTTCAAAGTTGAGTTCCTGTGAGTTGGTGCAACACACTTCTAGTTTACTGAAAAGCATTTGCCATTTGCCTATTTGGATTCCTTAAGAGAATCCCGTTAAAAAATACTGCAATCTAGACTCCAGTTTCTTCTGCGGTCCCTGTGAAAACCACTTCACGTGATCTCTATTGAAGCTGTTCTCACCACATACTGTATATGAGTTTATCCTCTCTGTTACTAACCAAATCGTATCTAATTGTAAACTTCAATGAATCCATACCACCAGCACACACTTAGAAATTTGTTTCGTGTATATAATTCTACTTTATAACAACTTCCATTAGAATTGCAAACAATGAGCTGCACAAGATAGTTCAATGCATAAATCACCTGTCTGGAGTCAAACTGAGCCATCCACTCCCAAAAGGCTCTTGGCAAAGAGACTCGCAGAGATTACTGCGTGGTTACATTTGAACTCATAAAAAGTGAATTAAAACTGACATTGAGTTTGCTAGAAAGGATAGTACAGCTTCAGCAATATGAATCATCCAAGTCAGTTCCTTTATTAGAAAGGAAAAGCCAATTTGAAAATGATTTGAGAGACTTACGTAGCATTAATGCTTGAGGCACCACAGTTAGCAACTCTATACTAAAGTACATCAAATAAAGTTCACTGTTGATAATACCTAGGGGGATGGCCATTGGGAGCAGATGTCCTTCAACTGGGCCTGAAATGGCTGATGAAGACGCCATCTCATTGGATGGGCTGAAGAGGTACTGGTTGCTTGGAAGAAGTGGGGCAGAGAAAGGTCGCTGTATAGTTGGGCTGCTCACCACTGTCTTGACTGGAAAGGGATTGGTTTGGGTTCTGGCTGACTTCACCTTGACACCTGTGAAATGGCAAAAGAAAGCTGTGAGACTTCAGCAATAGTTTGATGGCGCAGGCTAGACTGTGCAGAGAAATCCTCAGAGGCTTTCAGATATTTGATCATCAAAAACTGAAGGTCTGTAAATCCCAAGGGAACCCTGGGCAAGTCTGGTCTGCTGCATCTCACAGAATGAACTACACACATTAAAACCCATGCAAAATCTCCACAATCCCTGCAGATACCCTGTCACACAATTTGATGCTGTCTTACATCCCCCTTTCTGCTTCTGTAAATAGTTTTCATCACCCAACATTTGAGGTAGTATCATATAACAGAACATTTCAGCTGTTGTTTTGTTAAATCGATTGCTATAGCAACGTTCCATTCATATGCAAAATGTGGCAAAAAAAGCCAGCTTATTCACCCCACAATAGAAACAATATTCTTTATGTGGTTGTGAAAGAGCTGTTTAGACAAAGGGTGTCTTTATAGCAGTTTGATGGTGCAAAGTTTAGGTGTATTAACTCTGTGTATTAACAAAGCATTAGGGCAAAGTTCAGCGGCTGCATACTGCAACCAATCTTGGTCAGTAAATCAGGGGTTAAGCAGTTCCGAGTGGAGGTTTGGTACAGTATTTCCCTGGCAGAAGGAAGAAGGGGTTAACTGGTAATTTGAGAAGGAGCCAGCCCAAAGCATTCGTCCTCTCTCAGTGGTGGGTTAGCAAGCTGCACTGAGAGTAGCTTATCCTGTCAACCACTGCCAAGAGGTAAACTTGAAGAGGCTGAACAGTCCACAGGTTGTTTATGTTTCCTTTCCTCAAAAGGAAACCAAAGATTTGCCCAACCTGAAAGGAAGCTTCTATAATGCACCATGTGATACGATGACAATTTGAAGAGGAAGGATATAAAATGATAAGGCAACAAGCAGGGAATTGGAATTAGAGCAAAGTCAAACCCCATTATAATATGCTTCAGTAATCATTACAATACAGGTCCATTATTAACAAAGGTGTTAAGTAGATTCATGGTATACAGGAAGTGTGGTACACATAACACAGGAAGTGATATCAGAGGCAATCTGATAACCAGGAAGCACTGACTGGCAGCTATTTTTATGATGAGCCCCATTATAACATATGTCTGAATATATGGATTCAAACTACTGAGGTATAACAGGATCTGACTCTGGGTAGCTAGTCGCAAGCACCAGCATTTGCTGGATGGGCTAAATGGTCTCTTCTTGTTCTGTAATTTCTAATGATTCAAGAATAAGTAGAGAGGCCATACCTAAGCAAGCAGTATTTCAATACATTTCAATAAATGGTGGGAAACGACGGGGAAAGCATCACATAGGTGTCTTGCATCGATTTAAGGTTCCTACGAAGTGCACTGGAAAGCCTTTCCCAGAAATAAACAACGATCAAGAAAAAAAGGACCCTTTTTAAAGTACAACCAACTCACTCATTGTTGCTGTAATTAAACACATCTGGTAATGACCTAGTTAATGGTAGATCAGGATCATTATGGTTCTCTTCATTTAATTAAATGCAGATTCAAATTGGAGGGAGAATCAGATTAAAATGTCCAAGTGGTGTATTTCCCGACTCATTAAACAGAACCAGACTTGTAAGAGATTTCTTAAAGCCACAAATGCAGAACAAAATTAAGTGGTAAAACATGAAACTCAATTTGATTGAAACAAAGCCACTCACCCTTCGTATTCTCAACCATTTTAGGTCTCTGAGGCTTGGCTTTAGGAGCGGGAGAGTTAAACCTCAGATAAGGACCTTTTTTAGATGTGCTGCGATGGCCCTGATAAAGTGCCTTCCCATACACTCTTCTGAGATAGTCTTCACCTTGCAACACTGGTTCAGCAGAACTAATGGCATCCGGGTCTGCAATCACCTGTATTGGAAAATGGGAAATAAACTAATGTATGTTCTCTTACATTGTGAACTGCAGTCCTATTCACAAACATTAGAAACATATAAGCTAAAGAAACTCTCCAAATGCCAGTTGTCCTGAAAGTCTCATCACATGAGACCCATTCACTGTGTATGCCTCTGAAAGCGAATTGTTGGCAATTTCATTGGGGACGGTGGGGGAGGAAGAGGGGAAGGAGGAAGTACTTTGGATGTGTTGTCCATAGCCCAGCATTCCAGAAAGCCCCAAAAAACTGTAAATGACTGTAGTTTAAATTCTCATCAAATAACAGCATCTGTAACATTGCAGTGGTCCCCAGTATTGTATTAGACATCACAGATAGTGATCAGAACTGGAAACCCTTATTTTGCCCAGAGTCAATTCACTTTACAGTATATTCTGTGACGCTATTTGAGACATCACGTGATAAGGCGCTATATCAAATGCAAGGATTATTAATATTATTATTATTTTAGATGTTTGTCTGTTTGATTTAAGAATATAAACATATTTTTAAACACAAGTCTGGGTCAAGTGTGAAGCAAACTGCAACAAACCCCTTACTTCCCTAACGGGACAGTATTACACTGCATTTATATCTTTTAAAAAATAAAAAAACATCAAATTGGTTCATTGATGTTTTCTCCCAACAGCATTGCACAGTTTAACAGAGGGCCTCAGGTCATTAATACTGACAACCCTCACCTTTGACTTCTGCTCTCGCTGCTGTGTTGCAGGCTTGCTTCTTGGGTTTCTCTTTCCGTAAGGCTCTGTGAGCGGCTTCTGCAGAGGTCTGGCTGTACTCAAGGATTTCTTTGTTATCCTCGTCAGCTTAGTTTGCGCTTTATCTTTCCCATCTTTGTTAAATTTGATATCCTTGACATCACACCCTTTCTTCATCCAAATCTGCTCATGTTCTTTTTCTCTGATGTAATTTCTTGAAGGAAATCCTTCTTTGCAATTTCACCCTGAATGAGAAAATTACGTATTACGGCAAATAGATAAAACGTTGGGACAAAAAATCTCAATCGGAACCATTAGTAATTTCAGACGTAGTCTCCGACAAAGCCAAGGACATTCAATATTGCACAACTCATTCCGATGCCAGCAATTTCAATACCTTATCAAGTACGACAACTACACTGCTTGGAAATGGTCAAACTTTTAGACAAGTTTACGAAATTAGCATTTTGACTTAAACTTTTAGAAAAGAACTAGCATTTTTATGACACCTTATCGAGTGAAAACATCTCAAAGCGGTTCAAAAGTAAGTAGTGTCAAGAGTCCTGTAGCTCAGTGGTTAGAGCACTCGCCTTGCAAGTGAGAGACCTGGTTTCGATTCCCGGCAGGGCAAAACCTTGGGCAAGTTTCCTTACTTCACATGCCTGATAATAATCCCTCAAGAAAAATAAACAATAATAAAAAAAATTGGTCACTTCAATCCACGATTGTTTGTGGGACACTGCTGTGCGCAATTGGCTGCCTCGTTTCGCCCACTATAGTCAATTCACTTTACTGTTCTGTGAAGTGCTAGGGGATGTCTAGAAGACATGACAAAGCGCTATATTAAATGCAAGGATTATTATTTTGTGAGGCATGCACAGTGGCTATTTCACCAATTTATCTGCTGGCCATGACACTAGGAGAAACTCCATCCTCTTTTTGAATGATTTCACCATATCTTTATCCTCCACCTGAGTACAGGCAGATTGGACTTCGGTTTAATGTCTCAGCCGAATGACCGCTCCTCTGATAATGCAACACTCCCCCATTACTGTACTGACATGGACTGTGAGCTCAAATCCTGACACTGGGGCTTGAATCCACAATCCCCTGACCCAGGAACATCCAGGAATACTGGAACACTTGAACACTGTAATATGCCTCTTTTGAAAAACACAAGTTAACAAAACAGGAAAAGACGGTGGTTTATTTCAGAATAATATTCCACTTCAACTCACATGGATAGTGTTAAAATTCACACGCACACATAATTTTTATTGAAATAGGACAAGACAGGTTTTGGCTGAAACAGCCCAGCTGACAGAAATTGAGATAAAGTAATGGCTTCTATCAATGTTTTAAACCTTCCCCCTCCCCGATAAAATTTGTAATCTGCTTTAAGGGAGTAAAATCTGCTTTGACAAAAAGTGGAATGAACATTTTTGTGCACATATCTTTGAAATTTAAATGAATCAAAGTTTCACACCCACTCCATGTGAAGACAGACAATTGTTATTTAAAGCTCTGAATAGCAAGACAACATGACATTATGTTTCAGGATGTCTCACAAACTCTTTTAGGTTGTAGGAAGTTCAGACATGGCAGACAGGGTGGGGAGGGAAATAATCATTGCTGTGGTCACCAGCCACCACGACTGGCCTAAGGTGCCCCTGCAGAAGACGGTTTGAGATGCAGGAAAAAACAGTGGCTCCCTTAAAAAGCACCCTGTTTTGGTGTCAGGTTGAGTCTGAGTTTGGAGCAGCTTGGCGAGTGACATTGTAGATGAGAGATGGCTTCAGCACATGGTTATCGTATGCTGTTGATTAAAATGCTGTGTTTGGTTGAAGAACACATCGTCCTTCAATGATTTCTACTACAAAACCTTGTGACTCGCTAGAGTATATTTCCATTTCCTGAACAGCCAAACAACAAGCTAGAGAAATACTGTATCACCACCAGGTGCAGAGAAGTTACTCATTCGCATAAGCTATTTGCAGTTACTATTAAATACACCAGATAGGAAACTTGAACTCTAAGGGAATATATGGAAGGCTTATGTTTGCAAATCATTAACTGTAACATGTAACCAATGAACAATTATTGACTATGGCAGCAGCAATCCTGGCAGAAGACGAAAAACAGGTTAATTCTGGTGCTCCCAGCTGTTTGTTGTGCGTGGCCTTTCTGTGAACTGAAGTGTAAACAGAAACACAGGAAGATGACATCTGAGGTGAAGGGGAATGGTGAAGGTGGTGTGTGGGCAGCCGGGTGACGCAAACACTGACCAGAAAGCTAGCAAGCTGGTTGGTGTGTAATGAACTATCACTCCAGCAAAACCTGGGACAAAAGAGGCTGGGGAGAAATCAAGAGGGAAACTTAGAGGGTGATCAAGGCTAGCAAACTAATCTTATATGTTCCAGTTAATTTTCTCTAACTAGAGGGGATTTCTGTAGCCTATTGGTTAGAGTACTCGCCTTGCAAGCAACAAGAACGGGTTCCGATTCCCGGATGGGAGAAAAGCTTAGGCAAGTTTGCTTGCTCCACACATCTTTGTTTACCTAGCAGGAACCTAGTTGTTGATCCATTGGCGGATCACTTTCCGGGGGTAATAATCCCTTTAAAAATCTATACTAATAAAACAACAATGTCTGCCTGTGTGTCAGTCAAGATCTCAATAACCGAATGATGTAGAGACATGATTTATACCTCATTGGAAAGGCCTTGCATTTGGGAGTGTCATGGGCATATTCTTTTTCGGGGATCAGAACAGACAGAACATTAACCCTTTGTAGCAACTCTCGACCGAGGTCAAAACATGGACAGAATATGTTTGGGTTTTGCCCTGATTAAGTCATTTCATCATTAAGGTGAAGTTTATTCCATGGAGCTGACCCCATATTCCATAAGTTACATAAAATTACACAGAACATTACACTTCTGGCCAAAACAGGCCATTCAGCCCAAATAGTCTGTGCCGGTATTTATACTCTATATGACTATTCACCCCTCCTGATACTGTCTCCCAAGCCCTTCTCTTCCCTTCTCGCTCAAGCAGGCATCAAGGTTCTTCTTAAATAAATTGACATCTGCTGCTTCATCCACATTCTCTCTCTAAGTTATAAAGAGAGTAATCCATTTACCAGTGCCTCCTTTGAACTGCTGCTGGGAGCAATGCTTTGTACAGATCCCCTCCTACTGTGACATCGTGAAGGGGACAGAAGATTGTGAGCAGCTCTCCTCATTGGTGAAGTCACTGTGGAACCCATGCCTCTAATCAGAAATTCTGAAGTAGAATCAGATAACAAGGGGCTGTCAGTGTGAGAGGCTACCAGCAAGTAGATCGATTCCTCCCTTTAATGTTTAGAAACCTCTCTGAAGAGAGGAGAAAGATATCCAGGCAAAATGTGGAGCTTATACCAATTACGTCCCTGGAATGGAGTGATGTTTTAGCGCTGTGATATTAATTATGAAGCCAAGTTTTAAAATTAAGTAAAAATTCAGTTGCTTGAGTTCCACACAAGAGCTGAGCTCAAGATTTGAAAATGTAGCTGAATATTAATCATTCTTTTGGTCAGCCAGGTGTCTGGCACATGCGGAAACCCATCACCATGCTTTAGCATATGCTGAAGAGATGCTCCACTAGGAATCAAATTGCTGGGAGATCGGAAATATATGAATACTAGAACATGGTAGTGACTGTTTTTGACTGTTAACCTAATGGATATTGTGTCAATTTTCTTTCTGTGCACGGTGCGTTTCAGATTGAAAATGTGACTCATTCTAAGCAAGGCAAGAACAAATAGCCAACTTCCGGGTAACCAGGTTGCTTCTGATGTCACTTCCTGCACATTCCACTCTTGCACGCTATGCGCAGGAAAAGCTGCTAACATCACCTCCTGCATACTGTGCATGCGCAGGAAGCGCCAATGACCTTAAATAATAATAATCTTTGCATTTAATATAGCGCCTTTTCACAACTTCTCGACGTCTCAAAGCGCTTCACAGAATATACTGTAAAGTGAATTCACTGTATGTTTTGTGGGTGAAACGCGGCAGCCAATTACACACAGCAGTATCCCACAAATGGCTGTGGATTGAGTGACCGAATTATCATTTTTTTTGTGGAGGGATTATTACCCCCGGAAAAACAATCCGCTAATTGATTCACAACCGGGTTCCTGTTTACTGCTAGGTAAAGAAAGGCGTGTGGAGTAAGTAAACTTGCCCAACGTTTCACACTGCCAGTAATCAAACGCAGCTTTTCTCGCTTGCGAGGCAACTGCTCTAACTACTGAGCTACAGGACTCACACAGTGAACAGATTTGAACATGAATAAATGAGGTGGTCATCTACTTTCTATCAGAAAAATAATCCATTTGGAATTCCACAGCAAGTAGTTAGCTCTGGGGAACCTGGTGAACTATGCTATCAGGATGTTCTGTAGAAAAGGAACAAGATATGAAGGTTGACTTTCCCAATTCTGTCCCTCAAGCTGTGAACTCCATCTTATCGCTCAGATAGGTTTAGTTCAGGAAGCCATCGATCAGCTTTGCTCAACACTTCTGAATCGGATTCTTTCACCTCAGCTGTCATAGAATTGACAACAGATCAGTGCAAATGCCTTCAGTCTCGAGTGTCTATAGTGCACAGGTCACCTGCGGTTGAGAGCAATACTGGAGGTTATCTACAAGCCCTTCAGCAATTTCTTTGCCTCTTGCAGTATGTCAAATTGCAATCTTTACTTAATCCCCTATTTTTAATTACTTGCTTCTCTCTTTCAAGTCGTGCCCCCCACACACATGCGCACTTTCATTCCATGCCCCCAATTTTCCCTCTCTGATGCATTCCCATCTGCAGGGATCACACAAGGAACTGCCTCAGATGTTTTAATGCATCAATCCCTTCACAAATTCCCTTCAACTCTTAATGCATTCAACTCCAGAGCGAGATTGAGAATATAAATGTTACCAGATTGACTCAATGGGTCTTTAGGAATCTTCTTTTGTAGAGCTGACCTGCATTCTGCTATGATTTAAAATGAGTGTGAATGGTTTCTAGGACTCTATCCAGTATCTCTATCCCAGCAGGGTTACTGTTTTTGGCTGGCATTTCAGACACTAACAAAGTAAAGCTGACTGTTCTGACAACGCCCTGCTGCTATGCGATCTTTCACAAAACTGTTATCTTTGGCCAAAGTTGTGCCACTTTTTATGTTGTGTATTGGACACGCTTTGTT